CAAGACTTATGTCTGCTGGAATCTTATCATCATAGGGCTACCTTCTAGGATATACAGGAGGTGGCCATGTTGTATGCTGCTATGTTTATGTGAATGCACATTGGGATGGGCAGCCTCACAAAGCACTGGTTCATCAAGTTGCAATTACACGTAAGGCGCTTAAAGGAGAATTCCAGGTTTCCTGGCACTTTAAATAATTATTTTGGCCTAACTTTCACAAAATAAAGTATTTGCATGTCTCAGAATGGACTGGCTACTGCTCAGGCTGTAATATACTTTTGCAGCCTGTTCTGCGTATCGTAAATGGCTTCCTCTGATTGGCAGCAGTGGAGAGGTGGGCGAATTATGTTACAATCTCCACCTTGGCCACTCAGAGTAAGCTTTGTATTCCTTGAAAAAATACAAGTCTTCTCCTAAATGGAAGAGATGAAGTACAACTGTGATGGACCGCCTTGCACCCTATGTGCCTCCTGTCCTTCAAACACTTTCAGCAGACTGAGAGCTAATACCAACATCCCAAGCATTGTACGTAGACAAGATGTTGAGATAAAAACCAAAGGAATCACTTTATTGGAGAGAAATACTGGGTTTTATACACTTCAGAAATAGGGGTAGTCCCCACATGAACAATAAAAACAAATATTACACATTGGGATAAACATCCCACAATAATTAGGTAATGAGGTAAACTTGACACAAGACTAATCCTATCATGTAGGAACCTCCAGGAAGATTAGCTAACAGACAGAAACAATAGGTGACTCAATTAACTCAAATAACAATAGGAGAAAGACAACAGTAAACACAAAACACCTTAAAAAACAGATTACTGCAGAAGATCTCTGCATCAGGTTGTTTTGAGATGATTAAATTAACATCTGCTCTGAGTTTAGGAGGGGGTTGAAACAGTCAATGCTAGTTTGGGCGCAAAGGCCCCAAATCTGTATCTGGGTCCTCCAGTTCTGTGTGTGCGTTTTGGGGAGACATGGACTTGAATCTGAAGTAAAACTACTCCAAAAGATCCCCCAGGCACACACCTCCCATAGAATAGAGCCCTCTCAAACACCAGGGCCTATAGTCAATAGGCAAGAGTCTAGCCTGCAGTCCCCTCCAACAGACTCTGTCCCGGTTGGGTCTGTCACAACAACCAACTCCCTCTGTATCCAGCAGTAGAAGGGAACTCCTTGGTACCGCTGCCACAACATAGCACCATTTACTGTACACAACACAAACTATTACAATATATTACAGACGAAGCAGCAGCCAGTCCATTTTGCAAATATTAGGGGCATTCAAGTCAGAGACGTTTACGTTTATATGATAATAGAACAAATTTCAAGAAGTGGAAACTGCATTTATTTTTCTACATACTCCCCTGCTACATTTATACACTTATCCCAGCATTTAACTAATGCCTGGAAAGCTTTGCAACATAATCATTTATCGGTACGCCTGAACCAACCTGGGACAGCCGGCTTCACTTCATCATCATTGTGTACACCGTTCCCAGAGAAAGATTCATCTTTTTTAGGACAGGTTATGTTTCGGCCATGGCCGGGAATGTCACTGACGGACATACGGCCATCTTTGAAATGTTTACACCATTCAAATGTCTTACTGCGGCTGATCGTCTCATCACCGTACTTAGGCTTGAAGTTTTCTGTGGATATCAGCAGATTTTACGCCTTCATTCACAAGAAACGTCATCAGCACACGTGGTTCCACGAAGGCACTAACACGGTTGTCTGCCATCTTGAGGAACGGTCTCTGGACTGAGCTTTTCCTTTCTCCTCTCTGCACAGTACGGAAAGGCCTGAAACACTAACACTCTGGGCTCTGATGGGGACCATATGCTTAGGCATTGGTCATGTGACTACTGCTGAAACACTAACTCTCTGGGCTCCGATGGGGACCATATGCCTAGGCATTGGTCATGTGACTACTGCTGAAACACTAACTCTCTGGGCTCCGATGGGGACCATATGCTTAGGGCATTGGTCATGTGACTACTGCTGAAACACGAACACTCTGGGCTCCGATGGGGACCATATGCCTAGGCATTGGTCATGTGACTACTGCTGAAACACTAACACACTCTCTGGGCTCTGATGGGGACCATATGCCTAGGCATGTGACTACTGCTTGGGGTGGGGACCATGTGCTACATGTGCTGCTGAAACACTAACACTCTGGGCTCCGATGGGGACCATATGCTTAGGCATTGGTCATGCGACTACTGCTGAAACACTAACACTCTGGGCTCCGATGGGGACCATATGCTTAGGCATTGGTCATGTGACTACTGCTGAAACACTAACACTCTGGGCTCCGATGGGGACCATATGCCTAGGCATTGGTCATGTGACTACTGCTGAAACACTAACACTCTGGGCTCCGATGGGGACCATATGCCTAGGCATTGGTCATGTGACTACTGCTGAAACACTAACTCTCTGGGCTCCGATGGGGACCATATGCCTAGGCATTGGTCATGTGACTACTGCTGAAACACGAACACTCTGGGCTCCGATGGGGACCATATGCCTAGGCATTGGTCATGTGACTACTGCTGAAACACTAACACTCTGGGCTCCGATGGGGACCATATGCCTAGGCATTGGTCATGTGACTACTGCTGAAACACTAACACTCTGGGGTCTGATGGGGACCATATGACTAGGCATTGGTCATGTGACTACTGCTGAAAACACTAACACTCTGGGCTCCGATGGGGACCATATGCCTAGGCATTGGTCATGTGACTACTGCTGAAACACTAACACTCTGGGCTCCGATGGGGGCTAGGCATTGGTCATGTGGGACTCTGGGCTCCGATGGGGACCATATGCCTAGGCATTGGTCATGTGACTACTGCTGAAACACTAACACTCTGGGCTCCGATGGGGACCATATGCCTAGGCATTGGTCATGTGACTACTGCTGAAAGAGAGTCCAGGAAGAGCTACTGTTTGGAAAGCTCTTCATCAAAACAATAGATGAAGAGGTCATTTGACCAATGCTTAGACAGTTTGTCACAGGACTGGCTGCCATGGGAGCCCACAGCAGCAATTTTGTAAACATTTACTAGTTCAGGGAATCAGGTTAGTCAAAATGGGCCGTGGTGGTTTTCTGTGTACTGCAGGTTCACTTTAATGCTCCCGGTTATATGCAGCAGATCCATTTTAAGTGGTCTATTTTGTAGAAGTAGGAAAACGAAGGAGGTCTGGCATGGAATAAGAAATATTTTCTTAGCACACACCCTGCTCTGAATGATGCTAACATAGTCCACTCATTAATCTAATGTGAGCTTCCTCTGCTGAATCAGCAGGTCTCTGTCCCTGGGTGGTGGCTGCCCGCTGTCCGGCAGTCAGTAAATATAGGTCACAGTGCTGTAAGCGGATGTTCCTCTGTAGGTCTCGGCATTAAATTCAGCAATGCTTCCACACTGCAGGGATTGCCCGTGTTGTTTGCTTTCACAAGGACAGAGACAGGCTTAACCCTCTCTTCATGCAGAGGGGTCATCACTTACACCAGACTGTTCACTACGGTGTCAGACCAATGTCTACATGCTGCTAGTGTACTGCTATACATGACAAAAAGCAGAGGCCAACAACTATTATTAAACAGGATTTATATCGCGCCAATAGTTTGCTCAGCACTTTACAATATAACAGGAGACAATATAGCAACAATACAGTTCAATACAAGAGGGATAGGAGGGCCCTGATCATGGGAGCTTACAATCTAAGAGACTACTTGTCTCCTAAATTTGGCAGTACCTGTCATCTAGACACGGAAACACATTAATAGACCACCCTAACAAAAAATATTGTATTCCGGTACCTATATAGGTTTCATACCAGCAATGATAGTATCCAGTACAGGGGCGGACTGACCATTTGGAAACCCGGGCACTGCCCGAGGGCCCGGGGTCAGTAGGGGGCCCCATGAGATGCCCCTGATACCTTTTTCATAGGCTTTTTTGAGTTTAGGCAAGGACACAGGGGCCCCATGATCCCCTATTGCCCAGGGGCCCCATGAGTTGTCAGTCCGCCCCTGATCCAGTATACAGTGCTGTATGTATTCCTTTTTTTTGTTTGACACACCTTGATTTTGTTTGTCTCAGTTTACATGCAAGTCAAACTGTATAGCAAAAGTGACAGTTCCGATGGTTCAGATAAACCATATTAACACTGAAAGGAGTGCTGACAAAGGTCAGCTTTTTTGATATTTTTAACATCATTTTCAATTTAAAAAAAGGTTGCCATGGTCCAGCGGTGGACTGTCCCTCGGTGCCCCTACATCCAATGCAATGGTAGGAACCAGTCTAGCAGCGGGAAGCAGATCGGGCAAGTAAACATTCTTTTTTTGTTCTTCTAGAGTGACCTAAATGAGCAATTAACCTTTGTAGTCTGGGGACAGCCCCACTGCAAGGGATAACTTTTTAGTTGCCCACAGTTGGCCTTTAAATCATGTACAATGTAGTAAATTATAGAAGCTTCATGTCTCCTGTCATTGATCACCTAGGTACACATCACAGCACAGCATTTAACACAGTTAGTCTTTAAGTACAAAGTTATATAAGGCCACATAAAACATCGGTGGTACTTCAATCAACAGGCTGATGGTGGTACATTAGTAATACTACATGGGGTCTCTGTGGGCAGGCTTTGGGGTTGTGCCAATGGTCAGCTTGCCTCATTCCCAAGATCATTCAGAACTCATTAATCGGTGTATTTGACCTTCTTGATGCTTCAAGAAGGTCAAATACATGAGTTGGATAAATATATGTGTTGGATACCCATAGACCTATGTGGAAATGCAAACCTCATCTGTAGCAAACAAAAGCTCATTGACACAGACCCTAAGGCCCAAGCATATCCTAAAGGCAGTTTTGCCTTGATTTTAATGAAGGAATAACTGCTCTTATACATTATAGTGACATGGGTCTTGTGTCTTTTTGTAGCCACACAAGGAACAGAGTAAAATGGGGTCATTACCTGAAACGCGGCAAACCACATCAGCCAGTCCAGGCGGTAGTGATAGGGGCTGATCACACAGGGGCGCCGTGTCAGATTTCCTGGCTTGCATTTAAACTCATATTCCTCCCACACAGCATTAGGGTCACTGGGGTCCAGACTGGACGTTCCTTGAATGATCACCTCAGTCCGATCCTTGGTGATGCTGCATGGACACACAGAAAAAGTCTGACATTTTTACAGAATTATAAATGGAAAACCAATCCAACAAGTTTCTCATAGACTTGATTGATCAACAATCTGTGCAAACACAGTGAGCTGATGTTATAGGAACTGTAATATCATACAACCAACAGTAAACTGGATTTCATCCTTCACTTACAATGAGCAGTGAGGTCATTCCCAACACCGTATATTAAATATCTAGGCCAAAAACGTCAATACTAACATGTAGGGCAAGTAACAGATTCATTTCAATACCAACCTTGAATTCACTGCCCTGCTGCTTTGTTTGACTGCTGGGAGCAAAACTACCTAGTTCTGGTTATGGGGGAGCACCGACTCATTCCCCTTCTTCTCACACTGGTTGGTGTTTGGTTGTTCAGGCACCCAGCACTCTCACATCAGGGCATGAAGAGTCCTCATCTCTGTTGTGAACTGGAGTGTATACAGGGCTTTGTCTATTCTTCTGTGGTTCCCAATGGAGCACCGGGGATGGTGAGGGAAACGAAGTCTAAGCTGCTGGTGCTGAAGTGCAGATTACTGTAACACTGAAAGGACCACTATACCCAAAACAAAGTTAGGCTAGCCGTAGATAAAGACACTGCACACTCTATTTGTCAATGGCCTTTGGGATAATCTTTTGTGCAAAAAATTATTCTATAAATTGTAAAGTGTTAAGCCATGCATGGATCAAAATTAAGCCAGTTCAGCAAGGACCAGCCAAGTTTCGATCCATGTATGGGCAAGCTGGTTGTCCTCAAAGGAAGGGGCATGTCCCCGGAAGAAGTCAGCCTTCCAACCCTGTGGTGTATGGCCAAATGGCCTCGCCTACGGCTGGAGTTGAGTTTTTTGGGATGTAATAAATATCTATGGCTGTAATGCACTAGGCGTTTGTGCCCTCCTGTGTGTGTTTTTGCAGATGTTTGAAGATTCTCCGATCTGAGGAGGGCTGCTTTGGAATAAGCAATACGTGTCAGAACACCATTAGAAGTACCTCTGAGTGCTGGATTTTTCACAGGAAGCCACACATGTGGGTGTATACACAGTGGTAATTGGCAGCCCACTCCCTCCCTCCTCCTCCATGTCCACTAACCAGCTAAACACAATGGGGGTGGGATATTACATGTTGATTGATGGAGACTTCACCTTCCTGTTATTCTAAGACACAGGCTGGAGATACATGACACAGCCTGTGACTAGAAGAAATGTCCCCACACTATGTTATTACCAAAAATAATAAAGATTTAATTGAATGGGTCACTCCACTAGTATGTGAAAAAAAAATAGCAAGGAAAAAATAATAATATAGCATATACACAAGTCATATTTTAATTGAATTCAATCTGTAGCGCTGTAATTTTCTGTAAAATGCAAAGCAATATGGCTACCTGGAGGTGTTCTGTACACAGAATGTATATAGAACGCCCCCAGAAACATAATTTCCTGCTTGTGTGATTGGCTCACTGATTTCCCAGAAGTCTGAACTAAGATACAAGTCAGATTTCAGGCATCCTCTGCAACAAAAATGTAATTTTTGGTGAGATACTCCCAATAGGAAATCACATCTAAATGGATGCAGACTCTGCGATTTTCCTCATTACAGCCCTGCAGGTGCAGCAGCTGACTGATAATTATGAATCCACTCCCTTTAGATTTAGGCCGGCCATACATGGGTTGAAATGTCTTCCAAAAATCAGACATTGGAATAATCGGTTAGTGGGTCAATGGCACCGGCCGATTTTCGTGGTTCCTCCCCTTTTTGGTGATCGGCATGTTGTCAAATTTGTAAAAAAACAACCGATTTTTCGACTCAATGATGGTCAAATTGTACGATCATTTTTCCGAAAAGAATATGCGCCGTGACCTGGAAGGAACAGAAGTTTCACCTGTTATATGGGGTGAACTTTATGACTTGGTCGGCCAGTTTTCGAAATCATTGATGGCACCATCGGATTACCGAACAAAGTTTTCCATTTTCGGATGAAATATAATTCGGAATTCGAACCATGTATGGCCTGCATTACTTTCCACAAGGACACAGACAGAAAAAAAACCCCCCAGCTGTTTCTTCATAATAACAAAAGGTAGAAATCTGCAACAAAGTTTGTTAAAATCCTTGCAATGTACTTAGGTCACCCAGAGGAGATGTTTTTATCTCAACAAAAGTGGAGTTACTCTTTAAAATATATATTTGTATGACAATTTAAAACAGTTTATTGATAATAGTTATTTATTTTTACTCCGTATTTTAAAGATTGTTTTTTTTATTTTGAACTTGTGACCAATAGCAGAGGACTAGAAGCTCCTCCTGCCACTGTTTCCCTGCAGACAGGGTGAGAAAGCGCTAGGTCATGTGACAGCTGTAACACACCTAGATATGAATTCTTTTTTTTTTCTTCAAACAAGTGTTGGTTCTGGCCAGTTCAGTGGATTGCTTTAAAAAAGTCCTGGATTGTTTCTTAGATACACAGAATCAGGGGCGGACTGACAACTCATGGGGCCCCCGGGCAATAGGGGATCATGGGGCCCCTGTGTCCTTGCCCAAACTCAAAAAAGCCTATGAAAAAGGTACCAGGGGCATCTCATGGGGCCCCCTACTGACCCCGGGCCCTAGGGCAATGCCCGAGTTTCCAAATGGTCAGTCCGCCCCTGCACAGAATATAACTGGATATAACATTTATATGTAAAGTTGATCCAGGGAATATCCGATTGCCTCTCGGGGGGATCAGGAAGGAATTTTTTTTCCCTGCAGGAGCAAATTGGATCGTGCTTTGCTGGTTTTTTTTTGCCTTCCTCTGGATCAACTGTGGGTGTAGGATTATAACTTTTTAGTTTTTCTATGGTTGCACTGGATGGACTTTTGTCTTTTTTCAGCCAGACTAACTATGTAATTGAGTGAGTTATTTCCAGCTGACTCCAATGCGATTTGAAAATTACAGTGACATGGTTAAAATAAAGATCCTAAGCCGCATGATAAATCTTTGTGAATTGAGCCTTATCCATGAATACTTTACTATGTCTGTTCAGAAGGTGATGGTATTAATATTCATGTCACTTTGCTGCCTACTATACTGTATTTCTCTGTGTCAGCTGGTACTCACGACAAAGAAAATATCATCTTTTCTGTTCAAATAACTAGACAGGAAGTGTTGGAAAATATTGCTTCCCACTACACCACCTACATTTAATAACCATCCTGTGTTGTCACCATTTTCTGCAACTGTGAGTCATGTATCCATAAAGATTAGTACAGCTTCTTCTACTTTATTAAAAATAAGAATCTGCTAATAGCGGCTCTTGTAAACTCAAGTCCGACCACAACTTTGTATTTTTAGATTTGGAAAGGGTAGAGTAGAGAAGGCTTGGAACCTTTTAATCAGTTTTTATTGCTGTCCATCTTCACTGAAGATTTTTCAACCCACTTCCTGTCTATTTGGTGGATGGCGGTCAGAATAGGAAATGAGTGGGATATCACCTCAAAGGGGACAACAACTGTTTTCTCTTAGTCAGAGGCAATAGGGGGATCACGGGGCCCCTGTGTCCTTGCCCAAACTCAAAAAAGCCTATGATAAAAGGTACCAGGGGCATCTCATGGGGCCCCCTACTGACCCCCGGGCCCTCGAGCAGTGCCTGAGTTTCCAAATGGTCAGTCCGCCCCTGCTCTTAGTAGAGTAAAGAATGGTCTTTGTATTGTGAAGCTTTCCCCATTACTTCCTATCCAGGTCACTGGTCTTAGACTGGAAAATCTTTTCAAGTGGAACAGAGACAGCAATTAAAGTACATCTAAAGGCTTCTATGTGATAGACTGAAGAGGTCCTAAGTCCAGTTACTATGTTAAGGTTACCATTCATCCCCATTTCCTGTGGACAGTCCCGGGGGCCGGGCATCATAGCGTACCCTTGCAATGAGCAGGCAGTAACTCAAAGAGTCGCTCTATGCAAGTATTCATTGAGATTCGCAGCCTGCATGTGCATAGAAATTCAGGTTTCCGCGCACACGTGGGCAGCTCCGTTGATATTTTTAATTGATGTTGTAATTTGCGCACTGCAATGCTGCCAGACTCCTGGGGGTAATGACAGTGGTGTCAGCAATAGAGAGGGAGGTTGATGGACGTAAAACAAACTTTGACATGGTAGAAACCAGTGAGCTACCAAGCCAAAGGATGACATACAGCATATTCTGAATATACCACAGCTGCACATATTACCCAGCAATCTATTCATTACTTACTCCTGACCCCTGAACTCTGTGTTACTTACTCCTGACCCCTGTTATTTACTCCTGAACTGTGTTACTTGCTCCTGACCCACTGCTCCCCTTTGTGTTATTTACTCCTGATCTCTGTGTGTTACTTGCCCTTGACCTCTGCTCTGTGTGCTACTTCCACCTTATCTCTGAGTATTTGTTTGTACTTTAACGCAGAGACCTCTGCACTCTGTGCATTAGGTCTGACCTTTGACTAAGTACTCCTACTTTGCACCAGGCCTGTGTGTCTCTCCATGTGTCCCTTACATCCTGACTGCTGCATTCTGTGTCTGTGACCTTTGCATTCTGTTATTTACTTCCTCCTGACTCTTTGCATCCTGTGCATTACTCTCCTGAACTCCGTTGCAGTATTTAGTTCTGACCCTTTTGCACTCTTTGCATTACTTCTAACTGACCTCTGCACTCTGTGCATTACTTCCTCCTGACCTTTGCACTATTTGCATTACTTCCTCCTGACCTTTGCACTCTTTGCATTACTTCCTCCTGACCTTTGCACTCTGTGCATTACTTTCCAACTGACTTCCTCCTCTGCACTCTGTGCATTACTTCCTCCTGACCTTTGCACTCTTTGCATTACTTCCTCCTGACCTTTGCATTTCTGTGCATTACTTCCTCCTGACCTTTGCACTCTGTGCATTACTTCCTCCTGACTTTTGCACTTCCTCCTAACCTTTGCACTGTGTGCATTACTTCCTCCTGACCTTTGCACTCTGTGCA